TGATGGGCTGCTGAGGAAATGGCGTGTGCCGTGTGCCGTCCCTTCCACCATGGCTAGTATAGCAGAACGCCTTGGCAGTGTCCTTGCTCTTTTCCAGAACCGTGGCAGTCACTAGGCTAGAATAATAAACTGCTGCTGGCTTAATAATCCAGTTGTCTTTTTGGGAGGGAAACTATTACATACTGCGTAGTGACGCATTTAGGGGTTCTGTGTAGCTTTGGAGGGCACAGAGTAAGAGAAGAGGCAGAGTTAGCAAAGGTGTTGTCAACTACAGCATCCTGTGTCGGCAATATGTCTTCTGGTAGTGCCGAGTCCATCACCTGCGTGACTAAACTTTGGCTGTTCTTCCCCTCCTCCTGCACCTCAGGTGTCCCTTCTTGCATAGAACTACTGGAGACACAGAGAGGAGGTATCACTTGCGCTACTACAAAACTGGAATCTGCATTCATGAGACAGACTCCAAGGGCAACTGCACAAAGAACGGAGTCCACTGCGCATTCGCTCATGGGCCCCATGACCTGCGCTCTCCGGTGTATGACATCAGGTTAGTAGAGGCTGGGGCTCCGTATGAAAAGGGTAATTTCTGTACCCAAATGAAGAGTCAGATGATTGAAGGACAGTGCTGCTTCAGCGTGAAATGTTTAGTTTTGGAGTGATGATGATAGATCCCTTCCTAAGGCGACTCTACAAAATCTCCAGGGAGGATACTCAAAATGGGGAAAGGGAGCACACTTGAAACTAGTTGTGCTGTGGTTCAGAGTCTGATGGTGGGGTCCAAATAATGCATCTGGAATTCCCAGGGAATGAAGAACATGGATTGCAGTTGCTGTTCGACTAAAGATATTCTGACAAAAGATGCATGAATGCAATGCACCCACTTAGGAATTGTTGCCATGCTCCAATATGTCAGTTTTTATACACCTTTACCTGTCTCTTCATCTGCTCAGTCTGTATATTCGTTTAACTCTGTCCACAAAGGGAGCTTCAGGCGATGGAGGCTTTGCAGAATGGTCAGACTACATCAGAAGGTGGCATAGAGGGTCAGTCGGCAGTTGCTGCTAGCCATGCTATGATAGAGAAAATACTCAGTGAGGAGCCAAGGTGGCAAGGTGAGTGTCGCTTGGGTCTGTGGCGCTGGGAAAGTCTGGTGTTTGTGGAGCGCCTGCTCCTGTCGAAAACTTTTGTATAGTAAATACAGATCATGGTCATCTCCCGCTAACCGGTTGCTTCTTTTGCAGATACAACGTATGTGTTGGGAAATTACAAGACAGAGCAGTGTAAGAAACCCCCCCGTCTCTGTCGCCAGGGTTATGCCTGTCCCTACTACCACAATAGCAAAGACAGAAGAAGAAGCCCAAGAAAACACAAATACAGGTACCGTGGTCCTGGATGTTCTGTTTCCCAGCTGAGTGGTGAGGTGTAGTGGAAATCTGTAATGAAGGATCTAGGATTTTGTCCACTAGATAATTTTTTTTTTTTTAGTGTGTCTCCAGGGCCTGTACAGACAGATGGGATGGACTGTTATTTCTGCCTAGGAGACAGGATAACAAGCTAAACAAGGAGTTTTGTTGTATATAGGAACCAGTATCTCTAATAATAATGACTTGCTAAATCATGTTACAACTCTGGTTTTATGGCAAACAGAACCTGTGTCTGGCCTCCCCTTACCTTACAAACTCCTGCTTTAGAAAGCAGTGCAGGAAAAGGAAAACAAAAGAAAGTTCTAAATCCCCGTCTAGAAACAGACACACGCAGCAGTGTTTTCATGGTAGAGGATTCGGAATCCTCGGGCGGCTTGTTGCGTGTGCCCGGTGACGGGGATCGTGGGGCGCGGCGTGAGCAGTGCCGTAGCTGGACGTGCATTCCTAACCCGCTGCTGAAGGCTCTGCTTTTGAGGCAGCGGGGTGTTCTCGTCACTCAGCTGTCGCTGGATTTTCAGCATGCCGCGTCTCCCTCAACGGTTTCATCCAAGTTACAGTCCCTCATTTCCTCCAACACAACAGAGCTTTTGTTGTGGTCTCAGTGGGGCTTTTCCTTAGTTCCTTTTTGAAAAACATAAGAGCAGACAAGAAAGCCAGGAGAGAAAATACCATGGATGTTCTCACTTCCTTCCCCACCCCCAACATTCACAGAAATTTTTGAATCGGCACTGAAATCCTGTAGTTAAAAAAAACTAAATAAACAAAAGTCAAAGGAACATTAATCCCAACACCTTCAGAAGAAACAGAAACACTAAGCCAGTCTTCAGGCAGCAGCTTTGTGCTGTCTGCCTCCGCCCGGGCCCTTTGGGCAGGGAAGAGGTGAAAGCTGCTCCCCTCCTGATCTCCGCTGTTGCTTTCCCCACCCCCAGCTGATGTGGCTGCCGCTTTCCGGCAGGCATCTGCTGCTGCTCTCTGCTTCCCCCTGCTGTTTTTTTTGGGGACGGTTAAGAGCATAAAAGCTTCCCCCCCCCCCAGCTGATATGGCTGCCGCTTTCCGGCAGGCATCTGCTGCTGCTATCTGCTTCCCTCTGCTGTTTTTTGAGGGAACGGTTAAGAGCATAAAGAGCTGGGGAAGTAGGTCACGGCAAAAATTCAGAACTGGGAAAAAGAAGTGTTCCTGGCTGGGAGCAGGGAAATGGACTTGCCTTTTCCCCAGTGACCTGACTCAGCCTCTTTTCCACATGGCCATACTATAACCCTGGAAACATACCACTGTAAGGGTATTATGTGTTTTAGGATTAGCCAATTAACTCATTAGCTTTCTATGAATGTACAGGTCCAAAACAGAAACCAGACCCAGCATCTCTGGCACTAATCGCATCAGCTGCTGATATTGTTAAGTTACGTTGGTTCAGGTCGCATTTGGTTTCAGATGGAGAGCTAAGCCATGTTTCCAAACTGGAAGAGGGGGAAGAAGATGCAGTAGCAGCAGCCAGCCAAACAGATTGTACAGCTGAGGGTGGGCAGCTGAACCTGCCTCCCGGTTGAGGAAGCAAAGCTGAAAGCGCGTTTGTGGGTCTGATGCATTCTCCTTCTACCTTATTTGCACAGATCTTCACCATGTCCCAGCGTGAAACATGGAGACGAGTGGGGAGATCCCAGTAAGTGTGAAAACGGAGACTCATGCCAATACTGCCACACTCGCACAGAACAGCAGTTCCATCCAGAGGTACAGTAACCTGCTCGCTCCGTTTGGTAGCTGACTAGAAAAGCAAAAGCATTCCAGGCTCCTGAAGGAAATTAGTGTGCCGGCTGGGAGAGCGTGTGGGCTGCTTGCAGTGTGGTCCTGGGACAGAGAAACTGCCTGTTGGAAGTAAGCTGAAATTCAGCTGCTTGACAGGGGTGCCTTTTCATTAGGTAGACCATGCGGGAGGAGGTAAGAAAAGTAGGGGAACACTCAATTGTAAGAGCAGTCTCATGTGTGGGGGTCCTTTTGAAAGCATGATGTGGGTCTGCAGATGAGCACACAGCGTCTGTTTCCCTGCGAAAAAATTCTTGGTTGATGATGATCGCACTAAACCATAGATACCCATGAACTGGTGCTAAAAACCACCAAGCTCTTGTTGTGAGCATGCCCAGAGCGTTCCAGTATCCTTACAGAAAGTGTAATTAAGACCTTGTCCTAGTCTGCTTCATGTTACAGTGTTGAAAAGCTCTGTTGGGCCTGTATCGGCAAAGTAACCATTGTCACCGCCTGTCAAACTGGGGGGAAGGGGAATAATCCATTTCCTACAATCATTGTCAACGGTTTGTTATTTTCCTTGCACACACGTGGCTGTAACTTTCTGTGCTGTCATCTGTCAACTGTTTCCTACCTTTTACCATTTGTAATATCCGTGGAGCTTCCAGTGAGACTGAGGGACTTTATGGCAAACGGTGACCTTTGGGTGAGCTGATGTGTGATGGGTTGATCTTTGGGTGAGCTTAGCTGCGATGGGCATATTTCGGTGTTTCTGTAACTATAGTGGGGTTTCCTTTCTTCGAAGCAAAGCACTGAAACGGTCACCCTGAACTCTGCTGGCCTTTGCGCTTTTTATCTGTGTTCCTATCTTGCTGTTGAGTCTCTTCATAGTACTTTTGTACCTGGGCTGCTGGTCGCTGTTTTTTCCTGTTCATGTCTGTTTTTTTTTTTTTTTTTTTTTTTTTCCCTCCTTAGATTTACAAATCCCCCAAATTCAATTGAATGCAGGCGTCTTGCAGCTGTCCCCGAGGACCCTTCTGTGCCTTTGCACATGTAGAACGTACGTGGGCTGCTTCTCTCGTCTTTCATGGATATTTGAGCTATGGAGAGTTTCTGGCCAAAATAGATACTTTAAAATCCTGTTCATGTCTGTTTTTTTTTTTTTTTGTTTTTTTTTCCCATCCTTAGATCTACAAATCCACCAAATGCAATGATATGCAGCAGTCTGGCAGCTGTCCCCGAGGACCCTTCTGTGCCTTTGCACATGTAGAACGTACGTGGGCTGCTTCTCTCGTCTTTCATGGATATTTGAGCTATGGAGAGTTTCTGGCCAAAATAGATACTTTAAAATATAGGGCCGCTAAACTAGAGCTTTTGTGAAGGATTTTCAAAAACGAAGTATTAACTTTGGTAATTCCTATGAAACCGTGCTAGGGCGGGAGGTGTTGGCAGAGCTGGAGGCAGTAGGTGGTCTGCAGGACTCGGCCCGCAGCTCTCGCCACGCTCTCTCGTGAAGTGTCTCCCTCTGTTCCCTCGCACTTGCTCGGTTCTCTGTACGTCAGTTTAGGAGGACTGGAACAGAGCGAGCTGCTTCTCTTCTGTATGTGGATGAACGGTACCTAGCGAAGCTAGTCTTGTATTTTAAAAAGCTGAGGATAAAATTGCTAATTATAGATAATGTATTGATCCGTTTTGGAAATTAAATACTGTTTTACTACTTATGAAGTTTTGCGTAGAGTTTAAATCTTTAAGTCAGGGTGGAGAAGAAAAATAGGTAGCTTTTTGTCTGCTTTCCCTCAAATCCTCTTTTCTCGCTAGCTTCCTGATTTATAGGGCATTATTTCAATCCTCACTTTCATCATCTGTAAACTAGAGATGCTCTTTTGGTTGTGGGGGCTCTCTATTCAGGTGGGTACCGATATTCCTAGATAAACGGTTACCTCCTGGGCCTCTGGCTCCTCCTCAGTTCCTGCGCTCCAGTCTCACCGTTGAATTTGCAGCAATTAGAGCAGGTTACGCAGAAGTCAATAGATTGGCTCTGATACTGACTCACTACATGGCCCGGAGCAAACCTCTTTGTTATTTGATTATCCTTTGTAAACGGTGGAATTAGCAATTGCTGCCTTTGTCAGGGAATGGTGAGAGTAAATTCCCTACAGGTTATGCAGTTCCTTTTATAGGAAGCCTTGTCGACAAGCAGTAATTATAGCTAGAGCTGTGGGCTATAACGGCCCAAAACACAGTAGTGCAACTACACAGTATGATCCAGCAAGCTCAAGAGAGAATGAAGTCTTGATAAAGAAACAGCGTTTAGCAAACTCCCTTGTGTATAACATAGTATTTTTGTTTAGGAGATGCCTTATTCCTAACAAGATTACTGCACTTGATACTGTACTACTTTAAAGCCAGAGTAATATTCTGTGGCACTTAGGTCATTCCAACCTGGTTATTTCTTGTGCTGTCTTATGGAATTGTATCTTTTAGGCCTTTCTTAGCAAGGCAAACACCGGGGGCCTAATTGAATTAAAAAAAAACAGGAGTCCATTTATTATATCTGCTCCTGACATGAGTTTTGCTGATTGTTAGCAAGAAACGTGTTGAAAGCAGTACTTTAAAGATACTGCGATACAGGCATAGTGTCAGTAAAAAGATGTGTCAGTAACGATGCTGAGTTGCGTTAGATATAAATACAACAAGTCTACAGCATCTCTGCTTTACCTTCCAAGCCAATGACACTTCCTTTTTGTGTATGCCTTTCTATGCACGTTCCTTTTTTTGGTAATGGTTTGTACTGAGCACAGATGGAAACTTACATCCCTCAGCTAATTATAATGTACCCATCCACTTTGTGCCTAGCAATGAAGGAAGCTCCGCTCTAGTTCAAGACAGCTGAATGAACAACACACAATTCATGCAGGGAAGATAATTTTGGAGCAGCGTTAATGGACTAAAGAGCAGCACAGTGTACAAGTGATGACAGTAATACTGTAAGGAATATTAGATAAGTAGTAGCCATTTGCCAGATAAGGTTTCTCCTTGCTTCTACACTTATCAGTAGGTGCTTGTGGAATATTTTTTTCTCTCGAGAATATATAGGTATTCTTGTTCCTAAATGTCTTGTGCTCCGTTGCAATTGTACAGCTTTGAGTAACGTTCCATGTGCTTTTATTTCTTCCAGAGCCTGCGCTCAGTGAAGATTTACAGCAATCCTCGGCTGTGTCTAGCCCGACACAGACGGGCCCTGTGATGTACATGCCATCAGCAGCTGGTGATTCTGTTCCGGTCAGCCCCTCCAGTCCGCACGCCCCAGACCTTAGCAATGTATGTAGCAGTGTGGGGAAGCCTTGTCCATATTGTGTAAATCTGAGTTTCTCTGAGCCACTGTGCTTCTTTCTCCCAAGAAAAGAAATCTTAAGTATCCAAAAGCCCAAAGGATATGGTGCTTTTCTTTTAGATCTCAGCTCCACGCTTTTTAGAGGGATCTATTTGTTTGGAACATACAATTCAGTGGCTTTAGCATTGTCCTCTCACCTATAAAATCTCTAAGCCTTCCTTTCTATGCAGAGTTTGTTGATGTACTTTCAGGAAAGTGGAATACATCCGCACATGAAGTCCAACTCCTTCCTGTCTGGAGGTACATATTGGGCTTAGTTTCCAAGTACTCTAATTAAAGGCTGTGAGCCGATAACGTCTAAAGTACATAACTACAATCGAGTTTGTTTACATATGTAATCTCAGAGGCTTAGCCTGTGCATATTTGTGTGTTGCATTATAGGATATCCTTGATTCCCTCCCTCTCCTACTTCTGGAGATGGCTAAACTCTGGAATATGTTTAAGTAATGCCCCAGATTGTTGGTAGTACTTTATTTTAGTTGTACATACAAGAAGGGAGACCTTTAAACGCCGAACAGATACACGCAGACAGATAAGAATCCCAGGGAATGCTAGACCACTTCGTTTTTGCTGAGATTTTTTTTTTTGGTCGTGAAGTCTTTCCTGTTTGCACTACTGTTGATAAGGTGTGTAACCTTTTCAAATGGTTGGTCGAGGTTTTGAGAAGGTAAAATGACATGAGTTTAACTCATTTGAAACTGGTCAGAATGAGGTGAACTCATTTAGGACCTCTGTTTTGTCTTATTCCCCCTCTTTGAAAAGAGAAGCTGATAGTTTGATTTTATTAGTGCCAAAGCCAACCTAGCAGTTCATAGTTCTCTTGAATTTGATTGCAGCTAGAATTCCAAACAGATCTTGAAAAAGTCCAGACATAATATTTTCTCTCGCTAAATAACACTGTGGAAAGCAGTAAAAAACAAAACCCCTTCGTCTTATGAATGTGTCATCTAAATTCTCCAAAAACTGCAGTGAAATTGAAGATACCTTCCACTTAACAGACCATTTAGGTCTTTTCTGTCTCAAGCTCTTAGTCTTTTAAACAGTCTTTCCTAATCCTTGGATATATGCCAAACGGCAACACATGTCTTTGTGTGACTTCATCACTCCACAGGGCATCTGCATGTCGCTTGCAAACAAATATGGCTTTGCTGGTAATCATTTTACATGATGAATTAATCAGAGAAAAAGGTCCCTCTAGCAGCCAGCCTCACGTAGCCTGTTCTGTTTTGTATTTGTACTGTAGGTGTGGAATAAATCAGGAACTCTGCCAACTAGCCCCACCTCCACCACAGTGAGTAGTATCTTTGCAACTGTAGGGAAGCGTGGACAGCAGAATGTCTGTATAAAAATAAAATCAAAACACTGTAGGATGCTCCTTCTTTCTAATGCCAGCCCAGACTGTGCCACATTTGAATCTGAGGTAGCAGTAGCTGTCTAAATGTTGTCTAAAGCACAGTCATGCTTGCCAGGGCAGGCAGATAATTTCTTGTCCCAGAGAAATGGGATATCTGCATTGATCCAGGTAGGCGCTTTCTCTAAAACTCATCTTAATCTCCTTTGCTGCTGTCTGCGGCTTCATCTACAGTGCAAAACTGGCCTTGTTGCATGTGGTCGTGATCCCTGGTATTAGTCCAAAGAATGGAACTGTTGGAAAACCTTGGGTTTTTTAATGCAGCTGTTGATACTTCGCTTGTGCCTGCATTAAAACTTTCAGATTTCCAACTGGAAAGCGAGAGATACAGTATTACACGTAGCTCAGATATGCTTGGTGGTTCTGACTGCCGTAGCACCTTTCCAGGTTTCACGCTACTACTCAGAGAGCAGACAGGATCCACTGTAGCCTAGGGAAAGCCAAGAGAGTTTTGGTCAGGTTTGGAAACTTGATCAGTCACACCTGAGACCTCAAAAAGAATAAATGTCGCTAGAGCTGTAGGTTGGTTTTTATAAGACTGCCCTCCAGTACAAAGTAATGGCAGTAAAACCGTAATTGTGGGACTTTATAAATCCAGTACCGACTGGAGCTTTTTCCTGGTTTTTAATTACTGTTTACTGGAAGCTTGTATGCTTGTGTTGACTGTCAGTACAATTGATGCACAGTGAAGTGAATGAGCTCTTCCGTGGGATGCCTCTCCTCTTCGAGTTGCTGCTGCTGGCTGGCTGTACTTTCCTGACACTTGTTCCTTCTATTAGATTCTTTGTAGGAACAGCAGTCTCGGAAGCCCATCTAATATATGTGGGTCTCCTCCTGGTGCCATTGGAAAGCCACACAGCTTGGAGACCATTGGTTTTCCTCCAGACTCTGTAACAGCAGCCGGCAGCTACAAGAAAGCACCAGGGTTTGAGCGAGAAGATCAGGTGGGGGCCGAGTATTTGAAGAGTTTCAAATGCCAGGTTAGTAGGGAATATTGGCTGGAAGAGTTGGGGGGATGAGGAGCAATGAGAAATTGCCCAGTCTAGCTTGAATGTATTTTTATTTTTCAAGGACCAAAAATGAGAAAGCACTGTCCTCATTAGCAGTTCTCAGATCCCTGCTGTTGCTTTCAGCCTCCTTTCCGGTCTCTCCCATCTTACATCTGTTCTTGTCTGCCTAGCTGCCATCGCACACTCCGTTTGTCGAAGTCGAGCTGCTGCTTGTTTTCCTAATCCCTCAGAACTTCTGTCCTGTGTTGACCCTGGGGAGCTTCCCACATATCACTTCTTGCTCTTTCTTTTTCTATATTTAGGTCCTTGCCAAGAGTTGCTGTTTCTTTCGCTGTATTGTCTCATGGAAACTCATCCTTCCTTCTCTGTTCTCACTCCAAACTCTTACCTTGATCTCCGTGACTTGGTTTGTCTTCTGTTTTCACCATTCGTTTCTCTGATGTGGTAAAAATGTCATGTTGGTTGTCTCTGGCTGTATCATTCTGCTCCTTGACTCTCTCCTGTGGCTTCTGTAGTAAATTTGAATTCCTCATTCTCATTTGAAGAACCCTCTGCAATCTTAACCAACCCACATCTCCAGTGACGTTCCCTCTTACGCCTTTTGGATATCCCGGTCTTGCCTTGCTGCTTCCTCAGTCTTCTCTGTCTTGCTCTCATGCCTTATCCAGGCTGCTCCCTAAGCCTAGAACAGTCTCTTCCATCTCTTCTGCCACACGTGAGCTTTTCCAGTCAGCTTCTTATTGTGAATTTCCTTTCTCGGTGTTAACAGTTCATGGTTTCCCTGCACCATCCCTTCCGAGTCAGCCGAGTCCAACCCAGAGCTTGGGTCTCGGTTTTTATCCCTCACTGGGTTTGTAGATGTAATAGAATAACGTCTCGATTTAGGGGAAGGAATAGCTGTTTTTGTGAAGAGGTGCCTGCAAAAATATTTCCTATAAGTTCTTTTTTTATATTTTTTTTTAAACCTGGTCTATGTTGCTTGAAAACAGAGATGACAAGAAATGCTGCTTTCAGCCTGGCTGTGTTTAAACTCTTGTCTGTGATATTGAAGAAGCTAGCCTTAAGAAGCTTATACTGCTGCGTTAGTATTGCACTGCTGTGAGAAAACAGTGGAACTATCCCGTCCAGACAAGATCTTGCATAAAGTTGTTGGATTTAGAAGCAGACTCTGTGGGTTTTGTTTTATTTATTTTTACAGCCTTGGGAAAATATGACCAAACTTTGCAGTAGGACCAGTCTCGAACACTGCTTAGTCTAATTAAAATGATTTAGTGACAAATGCAGATTAAGCTATATGCACGTACGCTTTCTTATAAATGCTTTCATTGTCTTGCTCAATGTGGATGTGGCTTAGGAAATTTCCAATTGATGCAACGCGTCTTTGGGGGTAAAGAGCAGACCATGCTGTGGTCCTGGCACTTCCTGCGGGCACAGCAGCTTGTAGCAGTTGTTTAGAAACAAAAGGAAAAACATGGGCTCGTTCTCTATTGCCTCTGGTGCAAAGGAGGAGTGAACCCAAAGCCGAAGGACTGAGAGAACCCCTGTTCCCTGCCAGCAGAGGCAGGTTGCCAGGGAGGCCCTGCCTTGGAGAAAATGAGCAGCAAGCCTAAGCCAAGGGGAAAGGGGATGGAGCATGAATAGGACTTTTAGAAGGAGGGCCAGATGATGAGCACTTATGTCTGAAGTCCGGGCTGCGCTACAGAGATACTGTATTCAGGTAGCTTCTGACTCATGTGGCTTTAATTAAGCAAAAACCTGTATTAAATGACTGGAATAAATAGCTATTAAGAATATTAAGATGGAAGTAATCACAGTTGCCTTATGCTAGGCTTCTGCAGACAAAATTAGGTGTCTCGTAAGTGTCCTGATTTAATTTTCTTTTAAGCTATAATTACTTACTTCTTTAAATCCTCTGTAATTCCCTTTGGCTGCAGTGGTCACCAGAGATTTTCGTATACCCTGTAAATTAGACCTAGAATTAGCCATTTAACTTTGTTCACTCATATTTGAAAACTTAAGAGACACTCTGGCTCAGCCCTGCAATAGCCTTGTCATTTTTCCTCTGTAGAATCGGTACAAATAGTTTCTATCCTATTAGAATGAAAAATGCACTTTCTGTGTTAATAGGTTCCACATAGTTTGTGGTAAGTCTGAGCCAGCAGTTAAAGCTAAAAATACTTTTCCTGAGTCCCAAAAGATTTAGCAAGCTGGAAGAATTCTGGCTGCACTGGAAGGACTGGAGTGCCACGAGCAGGAGGCGTTCCCAAGCCCCGACACACAGCACAGTAGGTTTGTTCCGTGCTGGTCAGAAAACATTCACTTGCACTCGTAATTTATGTTCCCTGTTTTCTTTCCTGACTGCGACAGAGTGAGCTGGAGAACTTCAGCCTGCCCTTTGAATTTCTGTCTTGATGTTTTTAGTGTTATTCGGAGCTAAAGGACGCTGGCTTAGTGGTGACAGTCAGTTTGCTCCATTTTTCCTGGTGTTACATGAATTCAAGGCAGTGGAAATTGAGACTAGATGAGAAATGAGTTCACTTTTTCTCCTCCTTAAAGAAAAAAAACCCTTCCGATAAGGCTTAACTGCACCGGAGCCAGCTCGCTACGTTGGCAGGAAGCCTCCCGGTGCGGGGGGCACGGCTGCGTATGTGCTTCACTCCAGCTTCTGACGTCTGTTGATAGCACATCGTGTGTTCAGATGAGTGTCAAACAGGGGAGGGATGTGTTGGATGATCTAGCAGGCGTGTTATCAGACACACACAGATGCGCTAACGTAACGCGCCTGCTGCGCACAAAGGAAAACAAGCCCGTGATCGGTCCGGTGGTAGTTTTGCTGTATGTAAACGCACTGCATGTTGTTCAGGGAAGCGTGAGAGAATGGTACCCACCGCAGGAGGAGCCTCGTGTCCGTATCTCAACTGCCTGTTTGCCAGGCTCTGACCTCCCCATCTGCCCGTAGGCATACGGTTGAGCAGGGAAAATGATTTAATTAAGTAAAACCAACGAATGAATTCTTCCGCTGCTCTTTCGCCTGACTGGTTATGTCATCCCTCTCCAGCAATCATTTATCTTTTTCATAAGACTGTTTAAGCCAAAGAGTCAAGGCGTATCACTTCAGGTCAGTGTGGCGTCTCACGCGCTGCTGTTGTACATCATGCCTGAATCTCCCCTGCAGAGGCGGTGACTGCCTGCATTTGCAATAAAAACGATTGAGCAGACTTTATGCCTGCAATATGTCTCTGGTTCAGACTGGGGGGGGTTGGAGAGCAAGTAAACAAGCAGCCCTGGCTCCCGGCACTTTTTTGCTCCCTCTCTGTGCCCGGAGGCTGTGATTGATCTCCCCGTGCCTTACGCATGTAGCAGCACGGGAGGAGCAGAGCAAGGCCTGCAGAACAGACCGTTGCACACGGACAAGCTCGAGAGGCCGCTTCCTTCCCAGCTCTGGTTATTGTAGCTCAGAAATGACTGATGTGAGGCAAGAGGGTTGATATCCGCTAAGGATATAGTGCTGGCAGGGCCTTAAGCTGAATTTTTAGGCTGGATAATGGAATTCTAAATGTTTGTTGGCATTCATGCAGTTTTGCAATTCCAGACAGCCTTGACCTCCCTTATGTTTTATAGCTTTGAGCTCTCTATGTTAACAAATGGGGGAAGGATTTTTTTTAAAATCGGTTTTGATGATGTTGCTTTTAAAATTGGTTAGTTATCACTTTATTTTACTTTGCAATCCTAGCTGGGAGCTGCAAAAGTTGGAGGGAAAACATAATCTACATAGTTTATTTTCCCAAAGCTGAAATATGTTTACATAATTTAAAAATATAGTGTGCCTCCCACCATTTCTGGACCTTTTTTTAGATACTGGTAGGACTGATGAGTGAGTTATAGCAAGACAAAATAATTCATTTTTGGTCTTGGTTCTTAAGATGTCCTTTGTGCTAGCAGAGGACTTATAGCAGCATTGAAGGCAGATGTAATTGTGACAAGTCTTTGCATAACTCTAGGGGTGATGTCTTGTATACAGAAAGCGAATTACTTGGAGTGTTTTCAGTTGGCTATGCTTTCCCACTCTCTGAATTCTCTAGTGCCCAGAGCAGGCTGTAAGAGAGGAGGGGACTGTGTTTCTCATGGTCTCTCCAAAGCCAGCAGTCAGCCATTTTTAATTTTGCTGCTAATCCCTCTGCTTATCTTTTGTTCTGTTTCTTTACTGCAGCAAGCAAAAATGAAGTCCCACTCACTGGAGCACAGGAGCCAGGAGCAGCCTTTGTTACAGCCCAAACAGGTACGGTACTGCTAGCGGGGCTCTCAGCCTGGCTCAGTGCTCGCACCACCGCAGACAGGGACACGAGAAATCTCTGTGGGTCCAGGCAGCTCTGCAGGGAGTCACAGACGGGCCAGCCACCACTAGGGATGCTCAGCTTGAGGGATTACTTTATGAAGATGGGATGATTTGCTGGAGGGGTTAGTTGTGAATGGCTAGACCTGCATGAATTCAGGATAGATTCATAGGCCTGGACCGTGCTGGAGAGAGTCTCCAAATTACAGAAAATGGAGCTGGAATGGATCTCTGGAGTCATCTAAGTTCAAGGATTCGGCAAAGAGAATTTAGTATCGGGCTCTAAGTAGTGTGCTGAACTAGGTCTGAGTGAGTGAGTGTGCAACCCATCCTTATGATTGCATGCAACCTGTGGGTCACAGGAGTTAATTCTGGGGCAGCCCAAAGGGTGTTTGTAACACGGGGGCGAGGGGGAGAGTGGAGAACAGTCGGCAGAAATTAAAGAAAAGCTGTTAATCTCTCCCCCAGCCCAGTAGTAGCACCAGCCATCTGTCAGGTTGGAAGCAGGCAGGAACAGGTTCGCTGCTGCTCTTTGGCTCATTCCTGCATGTTTCTGAGGGGATGCTTCTGTAAAGATGTTTTTTTTCCTACCTCTTT